TAGGGAAGTAAGGCAATGAAAATAATTCAATATGAAAGGTGTAAGCATGTCATACTCTAATCCTGCAAATGTCATAAAAAATACAAAAGAAAATTGTGAAAATATTACTAGGGTTTGAATGTCATGATCATGGTGACTTTTATTTGACAATTAAGACATTAGAAGACATTTTACATGTTAATGTATTCAGAATACCTCAGATAGAACATGGCCAAATATGTACAGAATTTGTTCAGTATGATCAAATATAATCACGTCTAATTGTTGTCAATCATGACCGATCCGTTTGGAAAATTGAAATAAAGCCTTTTTTTTTATTATTTTCTCTGTTTGTCTTTGAAATTAGACAATCTGAAAAAACATTTCTTTTAACTTCATGAAATTTTATTAATTTTATTATTATTATATAATACACCTGATTCATGGATGAGTTTGAAATGAAACCACATTTCTCTGTTATGCCAAATTGCCTAGGGGGAATTTGATCGTCAAATGTGTTGTGCCAGTGTAACGCACCAATTCTAGTTCCTATCTATGTCCTCTCACTTCCTAGTTTCAAATAGATTACTTTCAAGATTGCAGTAGAAACAGATTCAAAATTTCTTTTATATTTAACAGGAGGTGAGAAGCAACGTGTTGCCATTGCTAGAACTGTTCTAAAAAATCCTTCAATTATTTTATTCGATGAGGCGACATCGTCATTAGATTCAATAACTGAACAGGTAAGAAAACCATATGGAATGACAAATGGCTGTTGTAAAAAAACTTTTAACAGTTTCAAAAGTGTATAGCGCCCTCTAGTGGCACACTTTAAAATAACGTTTTCTATAAAATAAATATATGAATTGCTGTCTTTAATACTTAATGTTAAAAAAAATAATGCTGCTTTGTTTTGTGCCAACACGTCAAACAGTTAACACATCGCCAAATGATGCCTTTTTTCCTAATTCGTATCACTTAACGTTGGGGTTTTCTGCATGCGATCATGTGATACCAGTATTAGTTTTTGTTGATATCAACAATAATGTGAACATTGTAAATTATATATTTATTTACAGAACATTCTTGATTCTATGGGTGGTGTCACGTCAGGCAGAACTTCTTTATTTATTGCACATCGACTGACCACTGTCATGGACTGTGATGAGATTTTAGTTCTTGATCACGGTCAAATCATAGAAAGAGGAACACACTACGACTTACTCCGAGATGTGGACAGCTTATACTACAGTCTTTGGACGAATCAAAACAAAGCTCTCTATGAACATTTTGCCCTCGAAGCAAGTGATAGTGAAGCTGGAGTTGTTGGAAAGGAATAATTATGTCTTCAGTTCAACTATAATCAAATCTGAACTACTCTGATGTACCGGTAATACTTTGTAACAATATATTAGGGAGTTGATTCTTGGCAAACCATATGTCTCAAAGCCAGAGGATCAAGGAACCATCTTCACATCAATGAAAACCATGTACCAAGCGTGCAAACCATGTACTGATGTTGATTTAAATACGGATTTTTATAAATCTACAATCAGGGAATCTTTGGGAGAGCATTCATCACTTTTTTTCAGGTTGACAATATGCATTCATGGAAATTTAAAATAAAACTCCATGCTGGTATGTGTACAATCATTTTAGATTACCTGTGGATGCAGTTTAAAGATAATTTCTAAAAATTTATAAACTTAAAAGACTATTTTGTGACTGTATTTGATATCACTTGTGCAGTAGGAACTCAACACCATTGTCAGGGGCAAAGCAATGCACTTCATTCAATGTTATGAGCATTTTGTGGATTACTGTGTCTCAGTTGAATTTTTTTCAAATATTTTTTGTGCCAGGTGACATTTCCTGATCTACAGACATCTACAGTCTCTCCTGATGCAAGCAAATGTGTGCAAACCAGTCTCCAAACCTAATCTAACATCACATTATTTGGAAGGCAGGGCAGACTGCATTCTGTTTTATATTGTTGAGTGAACATATTTGGCTCTGGGAATCAAGCAAAAATCAGAACCTCAGTGGTGCAAGACAATTACACTAACCACTATACCATCGCCAAGGTCCTTGTGTTTGAATTTACATTTTATAAATATTTGTATTCAACATTTCACCTAAAGTCACATCCATGGATAATCTGGAATGATTGTATTATGCTTTACTTTGTGTGTGGAACATTTTGTGGGGGAAAATGATGGCATTTCAAAGAATTAACGCTTTGCTGTGCATTGCAATGTCATCAAATGTCCTACATACAGGAAAACTAGATATCAAGTGAAATACTGTCATCTGTTAAGTGTATATCCGTAGCGACGGAGCTACATCACAGAAGGTTCTATGTTGCTTGGACGTGTATTAATGTACAGTGTATTTCTATGAGCAATGCATTATAGGCAAGCTGCTGTGTAACATTGGTTGTGGAGCCGGTGAAAACATGAAAAATATGAGACAATTCTGAACAACCAAATTTATGTCTTGTTACACTGTTCAGGAGAGTCTCAACAACTAGCCTCAAAGTACAGTTTTCTCAAGTTTTTGGCTTGTGTATTCACCAGTGATGATTGCAAGGCGATAAATATGCCCGGATGTCCGCCCCCAAAAATATGACAACTGAAATAAACATCTAATAACACTTTAAAAGCATACTTTAACAATGTCACAAATAATGTGATTCTTGGTAGCTTTCAACTTTATCTACTAGAAATTCATTTAAAAAGGTAATATGGATACGGTAACTTTGGGAATATTTGTGCATGTTTACAGCGAGTGCCAAGATAAACTGATCAGGAAAACTTCTTTTTCACTTTCTTTTGCATCATTGTAATACTAAAAACATAATCAGTGGTGTTTGTTTTGACTTTGGCACTTTCAAAAGTGTTTGATTCAAATGATTTGAATTATTCATGAACTTGAAGACGTTTGATTTGGACAAACAAATGAGTATGGTAAAATAGTGACAGTGTGCATTAACTGTTGTGGTGTTGGTATACTTTTTCCAGTCAATAAACTTGCTTGGGATTCGTAACAAATCAGTGAAAAATACTTCAAACACATTAAGTGGATGAAACCATCTTCGAATAGTAAATCAGATTTTGAGCATGAAATATGAAAATGGTGAATTATTAAATCTTGGGAGCATTTGAACAAACTTTCAGTTTCATTAAAATTTCAGCACTCCAATCAAATATAGTAGACTTGGATATTCAAATAGGTGTATTCTCTTCCGAAAATTAAAGGCAAAGTCAAAACAAATCTCCTTGGCAATGTTCCTATGAATGTTGCAAGAGAAATTGGTAGCGATTTTCATGATCAGTTTAATTTTATGTCCTGATATTTTATCTTAGAAGAAACAATAGTGAAATTTACAATAAAATAGCTTGTTTTGGCAGCAGACATAACTGTAATCGTTTGATGAAATTATGCAAATGAGCATGTGCTCCAAATTTATCAACATATTCAAGAAATTTGAAGCACATGTTGCGAACTCGTATCTTCAAGCGAATACCACAATGTTTACTGTCAAAACATTTATTTGTGAAGAATATTACCATTTTGTCTTTTTTCTAGATGCATTTTCAAACAAAATTATTTAAACATGACAAAAATATCGAAATACTCAAAGCTGTTTAGATTTCACTTTTTTTTGTTTAACTTATTCTGGTAGCTCTTGTGTAATTGTTGTTGCTACCCTTTCATGCACCTCAGTGGAAGAGCATAGTTTGTCTGGCTAAGTGAATGAACTATGGACCTACAGGAAATATTTTGGATATTTAAATTTGAGGAATCAGTACATGTAATGGTTAAATCTGGTACTGTTAACTCATTAATTATGCAACTGTTTTTAATTTTGCTATTTTTGTCGATAAGTAAAATCCGCTAAAATTCAATCCATGCGAACATATAAAATAACAATAGAACTCATTATTTTCCTGCCAAGTTTATGAATTTATAGAGCGACAGTCGTCGTGCCGCGTTCTGTTCGATATGAGACTTATAGCGGCGTATACAATGCGTGTAAAATACATTGTTTATTTACATAAAATTCGAACGCGCGCTGCGCAACGACCACTGCGCTTTAAACTCAGTTGCTCAAAGCATTAAAATGGCAAAATTAAATCACGGTATTCTCTTTATAATGGGGGGGGGGGGGTTTACAGTGGAATCTTGTTTGATTTCATTGGTGTATTTATATGAAATAATGTATAGATTTTTAATAAAGATATTGACATTTAATTTGGAGTATGGTCTGTACTTGTTGTTTACGTGATTGCAGTTGAGTCAAAGCATATCTACACAGCAGGATTTGATACATTGGAAATAAATGTAAACAAACAAGCTCTCTGATTGGTCTGATTGTTAGGTGTTAGGTTTGGGTAACCAATCAGGTACAATCTTAGAAGTAGCTTCACATTGACTTGTATGCTGTACTGTAAAATACTTAATTTTCGCTTGGAAATAATTTTTGCTGAAAGAATAATTCAGAGAAAATAAAATCCAGTGAATATGCCTTTTTTTCCTATATTTTACATTAAACTTGTCAAAAATCAGTGAAAATAAATTTCATATAAAACACTCAAAAAGTCCTTTCAGGGAAAATTAATTCCAGCTAAAAATAAAGTATTTTACAGTAGCTGTTTTTGAAACTGTGGAACTAGAGTGCCACAGTGGAACTACATTAATTTGATTTTGGTCAATTTGATCATGAAGCAAAGGACCAAAGAATTCTTATACTGTGGAATACTTTATTTTCGCTGGAAATTAATTTTCACTGAAAAGGCTTTTTGGGCGTTTTGTATGGAATTTATTTTCACTGATTTTTGATGAGTTTAATGTGAAATATAGGAAAAAAAGTATATTCGCTGGATTTTATTTTCACGGAATCATCCCCTCAGCGAAAATAGCGAAAATAAATTCCAAGCGAAAATAAAGTATTCTACAGTAACCAGTACATATAGTCATTTTCATCCATCTGAACAAAATATTGAAAAATTCTTTATTATTATTTGTAGACATTATCAAGTTTATATGTATAGTCTTTTGGAAAAAAAAAGTTTATTCAATATATAAATAAATTATAAATTGTAGGACTTGCGACTTTTTAATAGCATTGTTACGTGTCGCTTGTCATGAATTTTATATCCGCATTCCGTGATCCGGAGTCGGCCGGCCTTTGCAAGCAGGGTGTGTACTGGACTAATTTCCGATTTTTAAGACAAGTGGCCACCGGGGGCGTCAGCTTGTCACGTGATCATACGAGGTCGATCCGCCATCTTGTGTTAGGAAACCTGAATTTCATGTTTGGGCTCAGTGATACAGACGTTCAGATTTTTACCCCAAACCTAATCGGATAACTGTGCTCGGGCGTTTGGCCAGCTCTCATCATGTCTGGGCAGAGCGTGATGGACCGTATGACTGCGGCCAGACATAGTATCACAGGATCTGGGCTGGCGAAGTCTGTGTGTAAAGCCACGACCGAGGAGCTGATGGGGCCCAAGAAAAAGCATTTAGATTGTAAGTGTATATTTTATTTGTATTTATTAGAATATCGGTTTTGTTAAGATAAGTAACACAACCGTATTTTGCGCGAAAATTAACCCCTTTCTTGCGAGTGTCGGATGTTTACTTTTGACATACGTAATTCGAGTAAACACCGCCAAGTTAGGGGGCGTTTCATGTAATGATAGCTCTGCTCTCGGCATACCAACACTAATATCGTGCCAGTGTACGATTTCTCCAACCGAAACGAATAGCCACGTGTAAAAAAAAAAATGGTTGTTTAAACAGGATAATACCAGCTGCCTTGAACGAGATCCAAAACATGTAAAATGCGATTGTAATAGATATTCGCATCTCTGTATTAATAGTTTCCCGTTCCTCCCTGCTTCCTAATTTAATATTAAATACATAAGCAATGTTTGAATGAATCATCCTATCTGATTCTGACATCTCTGTCATACTTGGTTCTTATTACTCAGTGACATATAGAATGTAGCCTTTTTTAAACAAAAATGTCAAAAACATCAACATTATAATTTTAAAATGTCAGTTTCTGCCTGATATCCAGTCCGCTGACATTTGCAATTGTAAAAATAAATTCTGCTTTCTATGGTCCAGTCCCAGCTGATCTGAAAGTAGAACCTTGAAGAGGAACCCATAGCAACACCAGTTAGTGGAACAATGTCCTTAAAATTAGCTGATCATGTATTGCTTTTCATCCATGTTTATTGTTCCCCTGTTTTGACCTTGTTGGTCAGCCTCTTGTTGTGGCTGCTTTCAAAGGTTATATTTCCCCCACAATTCAAGCTGTGGTAGTTTCCTGCCTCTCTTTGTGCACTGATACAATAAACTCATCATTTGGCAATATGTCTCTGTTTACTAATAAGTCTAGACAGCAACATAGCAACACTATTAAAAAAACATGAATTATTCATTAATTTTTTTTTGACAAATGACAGTTATGTATAACTGTACAATTTACAAACCAGGTTTGTTTCATGTTGAGATGTGAGCTGACATAGTGGAATATTCACTTGAACCTTGGAGACCCCAGGTAGAGTGAGAGCTACTCATGAATGCACAATCTGTCTAATCCCCGGATGCAGGCATTGATGACGTGTGTTCTCCACTTCATCCTGACCACGTCTTTTGTGTTTCTATTATCCTTTGTTTAACCCTTAAACCACCAAAGTAGACTTTAGTCACCTCTCCCAAAATAGACCTGTATATTTTCTTTTACAAATTATAATCAAAACATGTACCCAAAGTCCATTTAATCCATAACTATCACATAAATTGTAGAAAATGTATTTGAAATTTGTTTGTAAAATGTTACACCAACATTTTGGTCGTAAAAATGTGGCCTTCATAAGGGGTGAAATCAATGAAATTAGTAAAATGTGAACAGTAATACTGAAATCTATTGTTTTATTTTTAAATATGAAGATTGAACCCAGTTATTGCAAATAAAATCCTGTGAATCAAAAAAAGTTTATTTATTATGATGATTTACAGTTTGAATTATTACTGTATGACGTATACTTGTTTGAGATATTGAAAACTGACAGTGACAATTAATCACTCTTACCCCGATGCGATAACAAAATAAATATTCATAGTACTTTATATCAGATGACCTATGTACTGCGTACCTACCCATTGGAAGGAGTGATCTATAGACCAAATAAAGAGGCAATCTATATTCCCTTTTACAGTCGTCAACATATTGAATCATAGTCAGTTGTAAGGGGAAGATGACGAGTGAAATTAATGACTGCACGAATATATCACAAGAGATAGATATTATAACATTCATTGAATAAGTGCTGTAATTTTCCAGGTGAAGAATTTATTAGTGCATTGAGTTCATGAAACTCAACTGATATGATTGAACAAGGTCAAAACTTTTTTTTTTTAAATCCCCCTTCCACAAAAAAACCTATATGAAAAAAAAAATGATTTTCTAATTTTAAATTACATTCTCATATACGTTAATATCAATCATGCCATTATTTTTTTATCACTGTGTTACTTTGTCTGTGTTGTGCAGTTAGACAGAAGAGTTCTGAAGTAGAAATAAGGCTCTGGCTGTGAGAGTACATATTTTATTTCAACGATGCCACTGGCTGGGCTATTTACCATTGCTAAATACTATAATTGCAGCAATGTTATTTTATTGCCAGATAATCAAATATTGCGTTTCACGAGTTCCGTCTGGTAACCTGTGTTACATATGGGTAACAGGAACAATGGAAAACTGACGACTTGGATTAAATATCACCTGTAACCTAGGTTACATGCTACCTGATTACTTGTTTGAATAGTAACAATTCCTTCCTGTTGCATTAAGCCCACCCAGCTATGATGCAGACATACAGAACCTTTGAGCGAGTGTGAAAATAAGCTGGTACACATGTCCAGTCTCCGGAAACAAAACGGTGTAGTGACTTAGAAACCTGAGCTAAAAAAAAACTGCAGTTAAGGAAGTTTTATTAAAGCACTATTGTAACCAAAAATATTTATTTAAATCTGTTCTTACAATGAATTTGACCTTGCCCTTCAAACAAGATTGGCAAAAATGTATTAGTCGAGTATTACTTCATTATTTCTTTTATGTGAAACAATTTCTCTTCCAAATAATGATCCTCATTTTGTTGTATTGATGTCCATGACTTGATAGGTTATACTAATTACAAATTTCAGCAGGGATTTCATAGAAAATCATATATGGCTTGTATCTATGCCATCATAAACAATAGAAGCTTGTAATTTTTTTATATAATATTGAAAAAAATTATTAACATTTATTGCTGCAATAAAAATGGTGCATGGTTTTTGACAGAAAGCGTTAGTTGCTGCTCAATGATTAAATAATCACAATGCGAATGAACAAAACAATTAATCTTAAGTTAGGCCAGACTTTTATTATCCCTTGTTTCGCGAACCCGCCGAATGAACAAGAGTCGAAAATGAAATAAAAGTAAAATTTTATTTCAGCGTAATTTCTCGTGCCCGCTGACTTGTAAGCGCAAAAAAATGCTAAAAAAATATTATTTTTTATCTTCATTTTTTTAACGCCCGCCGCATAACAAATCCAAGTTGCATTTTTGTGGGAGTATCATGATCAAAGTACCAAAGTCTCGCCAGATGAGTAACAAGGTTATACATGGAATAAAATTTTATTTCATTTCTTCTCTCTGATCAATGATCTCACTCTCAATTCTTTGAGAATCACACTAATCTAATGGAAAAAAAGAATTAATTTTATTTTTTTTCGCCCTCCTCAAAAAAAAATTGCCTTATAAAAACTCGAGAAACGAGGAATAAAAAGTCTGGCCTTATCATTGTCATAAAAAAAAATTGTTGTGTTTGTGCATTTAAAAAATATTTACTCATGCAAATGAAGTACCGGATTCGGCTGATACCCCGCCCTGGGCGATCTTATGGAGGATTCGATTTTTTTTTAGAAAAATGTGTACCAAAAGATGGCCCGGGCGATCTTTTGGCAGATATTACGAGGCCCATCTTGTCTGAAAAAATAACCCTGCATTGATAAAAATGGTCTAGAAAAAATGTTTCGTGTTGACCAAATATAATCATGCAAAGTATTTTAATACATTGGTGAGAGGTCGCATTTTACGTGAACAAGAACATGCACTAAGAAGGAAAAGCAAGTCAAAGTCGAAATGGGGTGCATCATGAACATGACACAACACACGCTGCGACAACTGGATGATCAGCGACATCATTTTGGGACGCAATTGAACTTCAAGTACTTTGCGAAACTTGCTGCGCAGCGATGCTAGCATCAAGTGTGTGTTGACCGAAGTTTGACCCCAAGTCACGCGCTGAACTGGCGCGTTACCTTATCAACCTTTTTCTTTTGTGGCCCGCGCGTCGATCTAGTAAAATTGTTATTATATCCGACGGTACTGTCATAACGCAACTTGTATGCAACTCTGTACTCGCTTTGAATATATCAACGTCGTTTACTTGCACTGCTTTTCTAATTACGCAAATTTGTTGACAATACTGTACCAGCTCTGAATATTTCAACTTTGTAATGTATTGCTTTCATGATAATTACGCAAACTTAAGTTAACTTTTACTATTGTTAGGATGCTGGTATTGGGTCTGTGAATATTTCAATATTACCGACTTGATAATGCATTGCATTCGTAATAATTACGCAAACATAAACATGGGCGCATTTAAATCATTAAAAATGATAGTAGTTGGGTATCTATGGAAAGTCGAGAAAATATTTTAAATACTTGCGATTCATCGATGTTCCAATTGTGATTTTTTTTATTCGAAATGAAGTAAACATGTAATATAAACCATACCATGTGTCAAGTTAAATTTTACTATAATATAATAAACTCTGGACAGCGCACTTCGATCGAAATATTCACGTACATTTTGACTGAACTCTAATAACCACGCGTTTGAATTACTTGCGGCTTTGGGCAATGACCTCAAGAGTTCACGCACTGATATTTAAATTTCGGCTTGACGCAAATCAATATAGTTACTTGTCACGTGTGCAAAAAATCTTTCAAATCTCACAAATATCATGAACCCGAAGAGTTAACTGGGGGTTAACTGAAAGGGAACGTCTTTTTTTGGAAAAAAACACGTCAGTACAAGATTATGTGTACAAGGTTAGATTTATAGAACGTACATGACTGCTTAAAAAACTCAGTGTTTTAATAATCATGTCGCATGTGAAATGCAGGAGACATTTTAGTTCGCCCATTTCTTGTTTACCGACTTTTTGTCTGGAATGCGATACAGACAAAGATTAAACATTGCTGATAACAACCAAGAGGCTCGAATCAGGAAAGCTTGGATATTTTAAACCTCGTAAATAACATTCTTTTCAAGCGTAGACTTTATTCGAGTGTAATAAACGTAAGTGAAATGTATTTTAACGAGTAATAATACGCAACAACAATTCGTATACAGCATTGGTTTTATTGAAGTTTTAATGCTTTTCGACTTCACAGTGAATT